CGCAGTTATACTTTTTATGTGTCCTTACTCTACACAATCTGTTTAGGTACTAAAATGATATAAGGTATGGACAAAAAGCTCACAGAACTTTTGTAATCGATATATCTCTGCAACTATTAAAGTAATTTCAACAAATAAATAGTCATTTTAAAGAGCAGTTCAAACTGTACTTATGATGTAAAAGTAAAGGTGATTGCTCAAGAAATAAGAAAGCTATGCATGTGACAATATTATGCACCATTTTTAGAAAAATTGTTTAACCTTCTTGCAAACATCTTTGCATTAGTCCTTCTTCACAAACTTTCTATGTTATTGTTTTGGATAAGAGAGTTTGAGAAGAATAAAGTTTTTCTATCTTGTTGAAAATCAAAAACATATTTTGTCGAATTAACAGACATTGAGTAAAGGAGTTAGAGCAGAGAGAACGTGAGAGTCTAGAGTAATAGGACATCCTTTATGCATTACACTAGAAAGAGAAAACAGATAGAAAGAGTGAGAGTGAATGGGTACAACCACAAATCATTTCAACTTGAAAAGTAAGTATACACTTCGTTACAAAAGCCTTGTAAAAGACTGTTACGAAAATCCTGTTAGAGGACATTAATCAACAGCTATTTTACCGTAAAGAAGTACACACAGACTTTGTTACGACATCTCCGTTAAAGAGTGTTACGGCAGCCCTGTCATAGCATCTACTTAGATATTAATCCCTTTGCATTATCTTTACGAAAGTCCTCTAAAAAGTGTTACGAAAGCCCTGTTTTCTTTAATGTATGTCTTTTTATCGTGCTACTAAAGCCTTACTTTTTACCGGGCTTTCGTCATGCAGGGGGGCTGGATGAAACCTGATCCCAGAGGGAAGCCTTTCACGTTACTGTCAGTACGTTTTTAACTTAAGCGCTATGTTTATTGGAATTTAGTTAGTTTGATGACAAGATTTGCGCTCGAAGCTTCGCGTAAGCATGCTTTCGAAAGTTGGGCTGGGGTGAGTCCGAACTGCACGGATCATAGCAGCGTATAAAAGAGAAAATTACCTACTGGGGAATTCTCTCCAAAAATATGTCTTAAGATACATTTTTCACACTTAGTCTTAAAGGACTGTTCTCTCTTACTCTTTTTTCGGCTCTCCATAATTTTTGTTTACGAAATAAGTACATTTTTTAATCTCAATTCATATTTATTTTTTGTAATGCTCTGTTTGTTGATTCTCCTTTTTAAGAAATTTATGATATTTGTATTTTTAAATTTGTTTTTCCTGTTTTAATGTAGTTTTTCCAATGAAATGAAATAGTTTTAAAGTTTTTCCAACCCAGCGACTCTTTTTCTAAACCTTTTATATCTCCCATACATGATTAAAAGACATGAAAAAGGAACGAATTGAGCAGATTCATATACGGCAAAAACGCACAAGAAACGCAAAAGCAGACTAGCGAGAGAAACCAGCAAAAAATAGTCAGAATCATATATTATTCGTACATGATCGTACAAAATCAGACATGATTTTATGTAATCTTACTATTTCGTACGTAAGGTGGAGCTAATGCAAACTTGCAGTAATCCTTTTTTCGAACGTATTATACACCATTGGATAGAGCTCATCGACCTGATCAAGAATATGTGGTTTTTAATTTTTCGAAACACTTTTTTCCTGTCGAAAAACTGAGGAAACTCCAATGACCTGTTTGATTTTTTTCACAGATGCACAATTAGAATTACAAAATGTAAAGTTGAAACACAACTATTATTTCTAGAATTCTGAATTTTACAATTCTGAACTTTACATGTTCAGATTTCTAAAATTCTAAATTCTAGGGGTAAGGATAAGTGTGAATGTACAACTTTACATGTATGTGCAGTTCAGAATCCTAAAATTCTGAATTCTAGGAATAATAGCAGTGCTTGAACTTTACATTTTTTAATTGCATCGCACAGCCCTCATTTTTTTACTCGTAGTCGCTAATCATTGTACTGGTACAAACGAATTAGTGCTTGGTTATAAAAAAGGTCGAAAGGTGGTAAACTAGATCGAACATTGATCAGCAGGGCTTCTGTCTTTTTTCTGCTTAATTCAATAAGCCATTTTTTAGAGTAAGAAGGTATTGCTTTTAGTGTTCTTTGTGCTTTTGAACGTAGGAACTGAATGGTCTCCCGATACTTAGTACCTAATGGAACTGAGAAAAAAAGGCCGAGATCGTCGGCGTAAAAGTGTTGCGAATGAGCCGAAAGAATATGAACTAAGTCTGAAATAAACAAAATAAACAAAGTCGGCGATAATACAGACCCCTGAGGCGTACCCCATTCAAGTGGAAATGAAAACGATCTTAAATTTCCTAAACAAACATAGCCAGTTCGCCCATTTAGCCAATTTCGAATCCATAACCAGAGACACGGTGCCGCGCTAGTTTTACTAGCAAGTGTCGTGCCAAACCCTACCAAAGGCTGACACAAAGTCTACGAAGAGAATGAGACCGGGTCTCGGCGAGGAGAAAGCAACACGAGCCTGCTCGAGAAGAGAAAGAATCCGAGTTTGCAGACGCAGACCGAGTCGAAAACCGATCTGAACGTCCGGTATCAAATTCTGGTCCCTCACAAACTCAGACAGACGTCGGTTGAAAACTTTCTCGTACAGCTTGCCGATCACATTCAAAATCGATATGGGTCGCAAGTCGTCTAAAGAGGGAAACTGACGTTTTTCGAGAGAAGAAACAACCTTGTCGTTTTAAAACTTTTCGGAAAAGAGTCGGTCAGAAAAAGCCGATTAAATAAAGTAACAAATAAGGAAATAATTCAACCGGCAGCTTTCGCAAAAGAATATTAGAAGTACCCTGAGGATCGAGCGCGCGTTTCGGCTTTAAATGATTTATTTCCTTCTCAATTTTTTTTTTCGAGATTTCGCCTACAGTGTCTCTGCAGGAACCCATTTTGGAGCGGAAATGTGAGTGTAGAAGGTGTTATGATATTTTTTTCTATAGGCTTATACTTTGCTATCGCTAAATTTCTTACAGTCAGTCTTAAAAATTGAAAATACTGAGACGCTGCCAAAATCTGTTGTGGATCGAAAATTAGATCGTTTCATTAGTTAGGGCTTTAATTTGAGGAGCATAAGTAGTCAAATGTTTTGCTGTGTACGTCCAGAAAAGAGTAGTTGCGCGAGTTGAGCGGTTATCTAAAAAACGAATGTATTGGTTGGTCCGATGGTTTTCAATTAAAGAGTTCACCTAAGAACGTTGTTCTTTGTATAAAAGAACAACAGGTCATCCCTGTTTCGACGTTTAAGAAATTTGTTCCTTAGCTTGTGTGGTTTTAAAATCTCGGTCCGAATTGTAAGTGGCAGAGAGCGACGACACTTTTGGACTGGGATCATTCGAGAAACACGAAGTAATAACGGAACGCGTAAAAAATTTCAAGAAATTTAAATGCTTAGTTAATAAATCACTTGAACTTGGTGAATTTGTAAAAATGCATTAGAAAAGTTAAAAATATTCACACTCCCAAATGCGCTAACGTCTATGATGTACAAAGGCGTTAAAAAGCTTTTTTACCCGTCTAATGAGTTTAGACGTATTAAGGGGGAACCTGTCACTTCGATTTTTCACCAGTTTGTACGGAACGCTTCAGAATGTATCCAATTCTTTTGGACTATTGGATTTGTAGTTTTTGAGAAAAACGGCTTTACGTTTGTTGCCGGTTTTCAGCCTAATTTTTTCAAGGACAGGGGCGATTATTTGATGGAATCGGCCCCTGCTTGAATTTCATTGACACGTACATTGTTAGATGCAGATCGATATGCACCTAAGAACGGAGTAAGTGGTCCCGCCTGTCTGGATATTGTGACCAGGTCACTCTGTGGAGAATGTCAAGGGCTATCCCGTGGTATGTTTTCGAACAATACATAATTTCCATTATGGGAGAAAAACGACTAACGGAGTGTAGAAAGCACTAAGATACGTCAAAGCCATTATATCGGCCACGTATTCTAGCTATTGCCCTATATGAGCATATTTCTGAAAGACTTATTTATAGCACATTTTAAAGCTCGTGAAATTGTCTATCAAGTGGTATATCTATCGTATTGGCTAGTTGAGAAACGTTGATCATAGGATCTTCACCGTGGAATACTTTTCACGGCTTTGCAGAAAGTATTTCTAATGTCAAGATGCCCTAGGACACTTTTGTCACTATTTTATACACATGAATTTCTCCGTCGAATGATATATCTGTCGTAGTGGCTAGTCGAGAAGGGTTGATCATAGGATTCGCACCGTTGAACAAGTCCCCCGCTTGTCACGGCTTTGGAGAAAGTATTTCTAATGTCAAGCTGCCCTAAGACACTTTTGTCACTATTTCATATACAGAAAATTGTAGCAAGAGAAATTGTCTATCGATTGGTATATCATATCTATAATTTAGATAGAAAAATATAAAAATCTTCTACGAGAAGAGATTAGAAATGGTTGCACCTCTCTATACCCTATCAGGTTTCGTACACAAACCTTCTTTTTTTAGAGAGTAGGTAAAGAAGCTTAATGCGTTTGAATGCATTACAAATTTTTAAAGTGTTAAAATGCAAAAATTTCGTTCTCACGTTAAAAATACTGTTAGGTCGATTTAATTTTAGGGCAAGAAATGCCTTAAACCAATTTAATATTAGACTAAAACACGCTTTTTCACTAGGCTAACGCGTTATAGTATGCATTTTAATTTGCTTTAACGTAGTAATAACTTATTAGTGGTAGCACAAGATGTTATAAAAGTGTAAACATCTATATAGCTCACATTATGTTCACCATATCATAGTAAACCAATTGTCTACTGACTAAGTTTTACGACAGCTGCAGCTCGATTCGGCGCTGGCTCAATTTGTCGTGGTTATTAATGATTTGAGAAAGCATAGACTGTTTGGATCTTAACACATCTTTTATTAATTATATAAAAACTGCATATGAAAGATAATATTTGCATTTTGGATGCTTTTTCATTTTGTTTAGCGACAAGTTTAATTACATTCGAAACAGCACGCAAACATCTTCTGCTGTTAATTCTCGGCTATAAACATAAAATTCGTCAACCGCTCCCCAAAACGCACCTGTTGTCCCACCAAATGGTCCAACATTATATGTGCCTCCGGCCAATGAGTTTCCTACGGTCAGATACATTTGTGATTGAGCAGCGTTAAATGTCGCAGCAGTAACACTGGCGTATGGTACACCATTAATGTACAATCGAAGACCATATGAAGTACCCCACGTTTGTACAACATGTGTCCAATTTTCTAGAGGGAGAATAGGGCCGACGATGTAGGTAGATGAACCTGTCCATGTGTGTATAGCAAAGTTTGATGCCGAAGTGAATCCCATTACTGGAATAACCCAAGCACCTGCACCTGTTGAATCTGATGATAAATGTAAAACGGTACCATTAAGATATGTAGGTTTTATCCAGAGAGCTAATGTATAAGGTTGGTTAATTGTGCCTAAAGCTGTGTAACTGTATGACTGAAAAAAAGCGCTATTAGCACCGAACAATAAAGCTTGATTTTTATGACCAGTGACGATTGACATTCCTGGATTACCTTGTTGGGGAATGTTGTATGGAAGACTATTTGGACCGGAATCACTCCACGTATTATCGAAAGAGAAATGTGATACCAATGTAGCATCGTTAAGTATTTCGCACGCTGTTTTGGCACGAGCTGTTACTGATAATTGGTCAATATAGCCTTGATAATAAAATACTCCACCACCATCACCAGTAAAACCAATAGTAACAGCACCCGACTGTCCAATATACGGACCTGTTGAAGGCCCTGTTGAACCATCAAGATTACCATTCAGATATACCAAATGCTTTAAATTTGTATAATCGTAAACAAATGCAGCATGATACCATTGTCCCGTTGACAAGACTGTACTCCCAGCACAATCATCATGATAAAAGCCCATAAACAAGTATTTGTTACGAATGACAAGATGTAAACACTGATCATTGGCAGCTGCTGCACATTCTCCGAAAAGGTTAGCATCGGACGTGTTCAGAGCAGTCAAATAGAACCATGTTTCAATGGTAAAACTTTTATAAGTAAGATCGATATATGTTGCACTAACAAATTGACTTGGGCCATTTAGGTAAATCGCATTCAAAACATAACCTTGAGAAAATGCAGCTCCATTATTAATGACACCGTTATACATATTTTGTTGATCGTTTGTGTTCGAATCGAATGGATATAGTGCAAGCAGATTTGAAGATGTTGTTATTGTAGTATTCACACAAGATGAAGTGCAGCTGGCAAGAGCAGTAGATGTGGTGGTTGTTACACCTAGAAAAATCGAGAGTTTATTGCTAATTTAAACAATAACATAAAGTGGTTGTCATACTTGTTGTGGAAGTGGTTGATGTACTTGTTGTAGATGTACTTGATGTGGATGTTGAGCTACCTGAATAAAGAGAACAAAACTCAATCACATCATCCGAAAATAATTTAATGTTTTTCAAGTGGAACTGATAGTCTGACATTACTAATGGTAATTAATGTTTCTTTTGTCATACATTAGACAAAGTGTAATATTTATTCTGAGATTTTTTAGTCATTTAGTCAAGAGCTGATTGAGGTTGACTATAGTTTGCGACGTAGACAGTCCTACTCATTTTACTGAAATACATTTGCTTACTCACTTTTTGCGTAAAATAATATTCCTGCAGAATTTATCATTTTCGAAAACCAATGTATTCGTAGTCAGACTCAGTATTGGCTTCTCGCTTTGTTTTCAATGATTTGATCGCTTTGGATCGCGACGACAAGATGGTAGAAATCGCAGTTCTCCGCCTCCTTTCACTCTTGAGATGTTCGTATAATAATAACCGATATTCGTGCTTCAAACTAAGTAAGGAGCAGGGTTGCGACGTCGGATACCATAATCAACAATTCTACTTTTTCAACTCTGCTTTTTGCACCTTAGTGGTGTTGATTGTGACGTCTGAGGTGGCAACGTTGGTAAGGAGAGACAAATATTTTCTTGGAATATTCCTGTTTTACAAAAAATTATCCAGCTCTTTTCTTACTTGTAGAAGTGGACGCAGTTGTTGATGTTAATATGATACTAGGAGTCGCAGTTGGGCACATTGTAGTTGCTATTTCACCGGTATTAGCGACCGTATAGGGAAGGACAATGGGTAATATAATAGCTGATGAAAACAGCAAGACAAGGGCAAATTCGAATAAAACTCGTTTCCACGATAATGATGATCTGAAAGTGGAAAAAGTCATTTTTATGTAAAACTGAAAATTATTTATATTACTTTATACGATTAATCACCGGTGCCAAACGGGATGACTGTAGTTGTTGAGTAGAAGTATCAGACCAGGCATCTTGTATGATCGATTCGTGCCTTAGTATACCAGAAGTATTATTTTCTTGATTTTTTGGTGTAAATGATGCATTTGATCGTGCCGAATTTAAACCAAATTCTTGCCGAAATGACTGAAACTGAAGTTGATGAAACTTACTGACGAGTAATAATGTAGAAAATACTCACCGATTTTCTATCATCATGCCATAAATAAGATGATGGAATTGTCGCATCTAAAACTGGTTGAGGCTGGAAGAAAAAAATATATAAATATATCAAACTAAGAAGTACTTTTAGATGCTTACTGAAAAATGTTGATTATCTGACCAGTCAGACATTAATTGAACTCTATTAGTACTTCACTACGTAGACAATAGAATGGCTTACAATCAGTTGCTTAATTCCACTAATTAACAATGATTTTGAAAATAACCCTTAAAATGAATTCCGGATATCTGAAAAACGATTGGAAAAAAGTAAAAATATTCTACAAAAAAGAAGAGGGGCCATTTCGTGATGAAATTGGTCTGTTAACCGAATTCAGTTTATTCATAGCGTAGGTACAATGTGACTAGGGAGTCGAATTGGGCATCATCGAAACCGTAGACCTACTTCTCAAGAGAAATTCTATCACTTGAATATTTTCTCGGCTCGAAGCCTAGTGGAAATTGTATTTACTATATTTTTTCGTTCCATTTCACAGTTAACCACACTTATTATATATCACTCAAAAACTCTTTTCCTCAGCAACATTTCTGTGTATAAAACATTGAAAACCAATTGCATTTGAGCAAAGAAAAATCTAAATAGCATTTACTACTATATGCAAGCATTTCTGGACAAAATGCGCGGTCTCCGAGCTCTGTATGGCAGTTTTTTATGAAACAGTATTTGATTTGGAAGGCCCTATGGGTGTATGTTTATGATATGGGAGCTTCCGTAAATCGAATGTTCTTTCATGAAAAAATGCTATAGAGAGCTCGGAGACGTCTCATTTTGTTCAGAAATCTTTGTTCTATATTCTGAAGTTACTTGCAAAGAATTTTTCTATTGAACTCGGGGACTTGGTTTTCTGAGATTTCGATTTTCCCTAGACTCAGGTTTCGGAAGTTAGGATAGAACGTTCGTATACACCATATCAGATCGAAAATTCTTTCAGCTGTTCAAATCTTTTTTCAAATTTGTTCTAGCTATTATGGTCGACGAGAAAAATGAAAAATAAAGGAGAACAAATAATTTTTCGACCCACTGTAGGTTTAAGCGGCGAAGTATTTAATACACAAAAACTGCTGTCAAGTTTCGTTAAGTTTCCTATTAACAGACATTGTAGAGCTTTTCAAGGCGCATCGAATGATATATGAATGATTAGAGATCCTCTTCAGTTTCATAGATAAAAGTGATAAAGAGTTTCATTGGCACAGCCACGACCTATGCAAACGTCTAGTATTAAGCTCATAAAACCTACACTATTACACGTTTTTTCGCAAATGTCTGCAAACCAGATCGTAGGCCGTGAGACGCTCTATCAGATGGTATCTTTAGTGGAGTGGCGCAAAGAAAACAGATCACCATGAAATTGCAGCTATGGAGAATGGATCTCACATCTCATATAGCAGTAAATGCTATTTAGGTTTTTGTGTGCTCAAATAGAATTAGTTTTCAACGTTTTATATACAGAAATATTGCTAAGGAAACAGCTTTCGAGTAGTATATAACAAGTATGATTAACGAACGACACTATATAGTAAATCGGATTTCCACTAGACTTCAAGTCGAGAAAATATTCAAGTGATAGAATTTCTCTTGAGAAGTAGGTCTAAGATTCGACGATGCTCAGTTCGACTCCCCTGGTCACATTGTACCTACCCTACCTCACTTGCT